GGAAGGGGTAGAGAAGGGCACTGGGAGCCGTAGGTGGTGTCCTTTATAGCCGCATTGGTAAAGGCCTGTCCCCAAAGCCACATAGCAAAGTCCAGCAGAAATGTCAATCTGACTCTCCAGTCCCAGATCACCTGTGGTGCCGGGGGGTCTCTGCCCCCCAGCTGAGATACAATGAGCCTGATCACCTTCCCCTACCCTTGGGAGGACAGAGGACAGGCAAGGCTGTGGCCAGGTGCTCATGATCCAGGGTCTGCCCGCGGGAACAGCAAGGCCATGGGCAAGTTATTTCACCTCTCTGAGCCTTTCTCATCTGCTGAATTCATGAAACTGATGAGCAGGGAGAGAATATGAGTGAAGGTGATCTGTAAACTATGTTGTACCGTACACAGAGAGGGACACTGATTATACTAGAGAGAAAAGCACTGGTCTCAGAGTCAGATCTGTTTTTTGGTGCTGTTGATAATCCTCACCTGAGGATATTTTTCCCATTGATTCTTTTTTTTTTTTTAGAGTGTGGAAGGGAGGGAGAGAGAGAGAGACAGATAGACAGACAGACATAATCTGCTCCCTCCCACCCTTGCTCTGACCAGGGCCAGGGACGGAACCTGCAACCCAGGTGTATGCCCTTGACCGTGAATCGAACCTTCTACCCTTTGGTGTGGGGTGCTGATGCTCTAACCACGGAGCAACACCAGCCAGGGCTCAGATCTGGTTTTGAATCTGTCCGCCATTTACAGTGATGACCTTTGAGCAAGTCAGTTCCCCTCTCTGGGTCTCCAACTCTATCATCTATAACCTCTCCAGCATCCTAGTGGATCGCTAAGAGGATGCCTAGCGAGGGCTTTGTGCGCTGCAAGCACTGCCCAGCTGCGGGGTTGTTTTTACTGAGCTCCTGGGAGTGGTTCCTGGGGCCCAGCAGCGGGGATAAGGCCTGGTAGCATCAGCGGTGGGAACACAGCCAGCTGACTGGGCGCCCTCCAACGGACCTTGTGTGGTTGTCAGGAGCTCTGGACGACGGCTAGAGCCCAGCAGTCCCTACAGGTGGTGCTGGGGTGGTGTACCAACAATGAGCGGGTGTTTTCCGGTTGCTGGCCTCCGATGCCTGTCTAGGGTAAGTGGGTCCCTCTAGAGGTCTCTTAGGGTAAGGCCTCAACTTTCATGTTTCCATCCTGGGGTGGCAGGGACCCTATCTAGCCCCTTTTAGGCTTGCCCTCACCTCTACTGGGCCTCTAATCCCTAGAAGCTTCCATCCCAGGTGAGGGTCCTAATGCTTTACATCCTCAACTTCAGAGAGCCTGGGCCACGGAGACTCCCGGGTGGATGGTGCTGAGACCAGTGGGTGACTCTAGGGCAGCGGTTCTCAACCTGGGGATCGAACGACCCTTTCACAGGGGTCGTCTAAGACCATCGGAAAACACATATATAATTACATATTGTTTTTGTGATGAATCACTATGCTTTGATTATGTTCAATTTGTAACAATGAAATTGGGGGTCACCACAACATGAGGAACTGTATTAGAGGGTCGCGGTGTCAGGAAGGTTGAGAACCACTGCTCTAGGATGAGGTCGAAAGGACAGTTACGTTAGGGAGGCAGAAGGCCAGGTTCAAATCCCAGCTCTGAAGTTAGGAGCCTGGACTGCTGTTTCACAAGGTATGCCAGGCCATAAACATCACAGAAATATGAGGGAGTTTGGAAGACACCAGAAAGAGGAGAGGTTTCATCTGGACTAATTGGGTGGAGGCCGGAAGGGGGGGAGGGAGGCAGTGTAGTACGTAGTGAGCTTTGCATGACTTGCTCACCCTGCCCCTCCATCCATCCAGCTGTTGGCAGGCAGAGGTGGCAGGGACTGGCTGCCGAGGGCTTCTGCCTCTGTTTGCTTGCCTTTCTTTGTGCCTCACACTTGCCCTGTTATCTCCATTCTCTCCAAGGTCTCCACTTCCTGGAGCTCCTCACCCCCACTGTCTTCCCGTCCAGTCTGTCTCCACGCTCCCCCATCATTACGTCCTCCTAGTTCCCTCTTTCCCCACCGCTGCCTCATACCGCCCCCCACGTCCCCACTACCTTCTTCACCTTTTTAGCCACTGCTGCTCTCTTTCCTCTCCCTTACCTGCCTCAGGTATGCCGTGGCCTGGCGCGGGAGGCTCCTACCTCCCCCAGCCCCATTGCTTCTGCTGCTCGCTCGCTTCGGACTCTGGCACGAACCCCACCCGCTGATACGGTCCTTCCGGGGAATTGGCAAGTGACTAGTGATGAGCTGTCAGCACAGGCCCCTAAAACTCCCTGGAAAAGCTGAGTCCATCCCTGGACCCCTGCCCAGAGCCATCTGGCTGGAAGCGGCTCCCAGAGAGCCTCCCTGGGCCTTGAGCCTCTACCCAGCTGGTTATTCTGAGCTCAAACCCAGCTGCCTGGCCAGTGCCGAGGCCCAGCACCTACTCTCCAGGCCTGAGGTCTGGCACTCATGGTCCCCGTGCTTTGCATAGTGTCAACTAGTCTGCCCTGGAGACAAGCTCCGTATTGTCCACCACCGTCCACAGCATCGGCCCAGAGGGGATGGTGGAGGCTGTTCCCTTTGAGTGAATGGCTGGTTTCCCTGACGCTTTGTTAGGGAAGAAAGGAGTGGAGTCCCCTCCACCCTCCCTCTATCCATCCCAACAACTGGGGTCAGAAGTTTCTAGAAAGTCTAGTCCAGAAACGTCCCCAAAGGGTGTCCCCTCTTTTCCGCTGCCCCACGGTTAAGTCCCAGTGGCCCCGGATGAGAGTAGCAGAAAGAGGTGCCAAGGAAGCCCTCGGGCTCAGGAGGAGGCTGGTCCCCTGAGGATAAATCCCAGCGCGGTGAACTGAGAGGTGCCCGGGGGGCGGGCAGGGAGCTGGGGTGGGGGCCGCGGCGTTGGGTGCTCCCCCGGCTTAACCAGCCTTGGGTCCTCCTCAGGTCTTGGATGTGCCAGCGCCTCTGGCCGCGGCCTGCTAACCAGCCTCTCCCGGGTCGGCGCCCGCCGCGCCCGCTCTCGCTTGCTCCCTCCTCCTGCTGCTCTTCCTCCCCCTGCTCCCAGGACGGCGGGATGGCGGTGCAGGGCGCGCCGCGCTTCCTCCTGACCTTCGATTTTGACGAGACCATCGTGGACGAAAACAGCGACGACTCGATCGTGCGCGCCGCGCCGGGCCAGCGGCTGCCGGAGAGCCTGCGCGCCACCTACCGCGAGGGCTTCTACAACGAGTACATGCAGCGGGTCTTCAAGTACCTGGGCGAGCAGGGCGTGCGGCCGCGGGACCTGCGCGCCGTCTACGAGGCCATCCCCCTGTCCCCGGGCATGGGCGACCTGCTGCAGTTCGTGGCCAAGCAGGGAGCCTGCTTCGAGGTGATCCTCATCTCGGACGCCAACACCTTCGGCGTGGAGAGCGCGCTGCGCGCCGCCGGCCACCTGGGCCTGTTCCGCCGCATCCTCAGCAACCCGTCGGGGCCCGACGCGCGGGGGCTGCTGGCGCTGCGGCCCTTCCACGCGCACAGCTGCGCGCGGTGCCCCAGCAACATGTGCAAGCACAAGGTGCTCAGCGACTACCTGCGCGAGCGGGCCCAGGACGGCGTGCACTTCGAGCGCCTGTTCTACGTGGGCGACGGCGCCAACGACTTCTGCCCCATGGGGCTGCTGGCCGGCGGCGACGTGGCCTTCCCGCGCCGCGGCTACCCCATGCACCGCCTGATCCAGGAGGCGCAGAAGGCCGAGCCCAGCTCGTTCCGCGCCACCGTGGTGCCCTGGGAGACCGCCCACGACGTGCGCCTCCATCTGCAGCAGGTGCTGAAGGCGTGCTGAGACGGCGGCCTGCAGGGGGCGCCCCGACCAGGAGAGAGGAAGGGAGATCGGGAAAGACAGTCTAGTTTTGTAACTTCCTTTCCCTTTCGCTTTGGTATGTCCCCCTTTGGTGTGGAATTTCTAGAATTCCAGGCCCGTCCAGGCGGGGGCTGAAGGAGGGAGTTCAGAGCCAATCCGAACGATCCATGCAGTTAAACCAGCGCGGCCGCCCCCCTCAGAGCCACAGCCAACAGTTAAATTCTGGACGGGGCCCAACCCGGGTGATGCGCATTTCTGGGAAGCCAGCAGCGTTTCCTAAAAGCTCGTCCTCTGAACTGGGAGGAAGAGGTTCCCTTGTAGGCGAGAGAACTTTAACTGCTGCCCGGGTGTAACTTCCCCTCCTCCAGGCTTAGGTCAAGGAGGAATCCTCCCGCACCGACTCCCCGCGGAGAGAGGAAGCTTTCCGCCTACAGCCCCAGGCCTAGATTTCGCTTCACCTACGGCGATGCCACACTACATCCCTTTTCTTGCCTTCCTTCCCCGCCCATCCTGCCAGCAACCCCAAAGGAAGAAAAGCCAGACGGAACAGTCGCCTCCTGGTGGTGGAACGAGGTAGCACACTGTCTGGCTTGGGTCGGACCAGCCAGGAACCTCGCAGCGGTGCCTCGGTGTCTTCTCATACCCCAGCCTCGTCTATGCAACAAGACCAAGGACAACCAAAGTCACCCCCGTGGGCTGGGCCCTCTGCGGCCCCCTCCTCTCCTATGGAACAGAAAGCCATGATGTTTTAAAGCAGAGCCAGCGAAACCCAAGCCCTCCTCTTTGGTGTTTTAGAGCTATTAAAGCAGGTGAAGGGGGAAGAGTCGACAGGTCTCTGGCGCTGCCATCGGAGGGGTGAGGGTGAGGGTAAGGTGGTCTCTGCTCTTAGGGAGCCCCACTTATGTGAGGGATTGGTCCCCACTTTTCGCGGAGGGCCCAGCTTGAGGCACCAAGGCTGAATACACAGCAGGCACAAGAACAGGGTGCGGCCATCTGCAGAGGGCACCAGGGGCTCCAGTATAGAGGGCATGTAATGAAGGTGGAGGAGATGTGAGACAGACTTGCTAGGAGCAGGCAGAGGGTGGTCAATACTAGGAGCCTTAGAACTGAAATGCCTTTTAGTCCCTTCTCTCTGCCCCCCCCCCCCCCCAGCCCTCCAGGGCAGTCATCAGGAGTTCATCAGAGTTTTATTCAAAGTTGCCACTTGCAGCTGGAGACCCCACCCTCCATGGGATAGGGGTCCCTCTGTGTGGACAGCTCCTCGGCTTCCAGTTCTTCCCGGTCTGCAGCAGACCTCTGGGTACCTCCTCTAGTCCAGTCTTGCTTGATCTTGGAACTGGCTTTTGCCTGGGCCTCGAGGTTCACGCAGAGAAGAGCCCCAGGCCGTCTGTCAGCAGCTGGGCGCCACGTAGTTACCCGGGAAGAACCCGGTCCCCTCCGAGGTGACACCCTCACACCAGCCATCGGAGTGGCGGCGGGTGATGCAGATGACGGTGCCCTCGGAGAAGGAGAGCTCATTGTCCTTCTGGCCAGTGTACGGGTACAGTGTCACCACTGCAGGGCGGAGGAGAGGGCGCCATGAGAAGTGCCTCCTGCCCAGCCATGGCGATACAGGGGCCTGCATGATTCTGGGGAGCACGTAGGGGAGAAGGGTGCAAGCCGTGGGGCAAGAGGTGCCTTCTCCCAAGCCCTGGGGACCGATCCCTTCCCCAGCTCAGTTAAACAATCGCAGGCCAGCTGCTGTCTTCCCAGCTTGGTTCTGAACGACTGGGTAAACATTTGCTCAGTTCACCAGGAAATAGGGGAGGGGGGAGTTGACAGTAGGCCCAGAATGCATCTGGGGTGGACATGGGAACCCTGGTGGTGGGACCTGGGGTCCTTCAGGCCCAGAAAGGTGCCT